GGGTGGGAGGTGGTGGGGAGCAGGGGGGCTGGGGGTGTGGAGAGGGGTTTATGGGCCGAATCACCCGCTGCTGTTAGTCGCGTCTTCTCAGCAGAGCTCCTCGTAACGCACTGCGCTCGAGCGCCCGGCGCAAAGCCCCGGCGCTGGGCGGGGGCCGCAGCTGCCGCTGGGACGCTCGGAGGGGCTGCGGCTGCTCGGGGAGATTTCTGGGTCCCCAAAGGGGATGGGTGCCAAAGGGTGTCGGTTTGAGCACCCCTCCCCTTGCTGCCCAGTGGTATTTTAGCTCTGGGAGCATCTTCCAGAGCAAAAAATGAAGAGGAGCCTGCGGGTTGTTTAACGAACGCGTAATCACAGCATCCCTTCCCTGGGGCTCGTAGGGGGAGACGCCCTTGAGGAACCTTTGATTTCTGGTGCACGAGGGCTTGGTTTGAGGGAATTTGGGGCTTTGGTATCCTTTGGGGTGGCTGCTGGAGGTGCAAACCCCAAAATCTCTGTCCCCCCCCTCCTGCCTCTGCAGAGCAAATCGTGGAGAAGGACGAGGGGCCGTATTACACCCACCTGGGCTCGGGGCCCACCGTGGCGTCCATCAGGGAGCTCATGGAGGAGCGGTAAGGACCCTCACCCCGTCCCCTCCTGTCCCAGGTGGTCCTGCGGGTGAAGGGGGGGATTGTGAGGGTGAGTGGGGGGCCCACAGGGTGCTGTGAGGGTGAGCGGGGGCTCCTGAGGATGAGTGGGAGCCCATGAGGGAGAACCAGGGTTTGTGAGGGGTCCTGTGAGGGCGAGTGGGGATCTTAGGGGTCCCATGAGGGCAAATGGTGTCCCGGAAGGATAAGCGGGGGCTTACAAGGGCGGGTGGGGTCCTGTGGGGTCATGTGAGGTGGGTATGGGCTCCCGAGAGTGAGTGGAAACGGTGGGGAGCTCATGAGGGGTCCACGGAGGGTGCGTGGGGTGCTGTGAGGTGGCTGGGGGCTTGTGAGGGGCCCATGAGGGCAAGCGGGGGACTCGTGAGTGTGGTGGGGGCCGAGCAGGGCTGACACCCGTCCCCTGCAGGTACGGCGAGAAGGGCAAGGCCATCCGCATCGAGAAGGTCATCTACACGGGGAAGGAGGGCAAGAGCTCCCGGGGCTGCCCCATCGCCAAGTGGGTGAGTGTCTGCGCCCCGGCACCCGTCCCTGCTCGGAGCCCTCCCCTCCTGCCTGGGGACGAGGAGGTCCGGTGGCTGCAGCGAGCGGGGGGGGACGTTCAATCTGTGGCAGGCAAGGGGGAACTGAGAGTGGGGACAGCCCCCCCCCGGGAAACTGCCCGGGGCTTCCCGCCCTCGGCACCCGCTGAGCTGCACCAACCGCACGTCCAGCCCTGAGCCTGACCCGTCCCCACTCCCGGCACCCCGAAACCCGTGGGGTGCAGGCAGCCATGGGAGCCCCCCCGGCCCTGCCCCAACAAACCCACGCAGGGTGCTGCGGAAGGCAGCCGGGACCCGCTCTTGGGGCCCTCCCCATCCTGGGAAGTGTTTGCCCTCGGAGTGGTCTGACTTGGCCCCTTTGGTTTTATTTTTTTTCCAGGTGATCCGGAGACACAACCAAGAGGAGAAGCTGCTGTGCCTGGTGCGACACCGGGCCGGCCACCACTGCCAGAACGCTGTCATCATCATCCTGATCCTGGCCTGGGAGGGCATCCCCCGCACGCTGGGCGATACGCTCTACCAGGAGCTCACCGACACCCTCACCAAATACGGCAACCCCACCAGCCGCCGCTGCGGCTTGAACGACGAGTAAGTCACCCCGCGCCGCCGGGCCACTTCGGGGAGAGACCCGGTGGGAAGGGGGGGGTGCGGGTTTCCCCCCTGTTTTCGGAGCTGCCATCACCGCGCCGGCGGCTGACACTCCTCTGCGGTGTCCCTCCCGCAGCCGGACCTGCGCGTGCCAAGGCAAAGACCCCAACACCTGCGGCGCTTCCTTCTCCTTCGGCTGCTCTTGGAGCATGTATTTTAATGGCTGCAAATACGCCCGGAGCAAAACTCCCCGCAAGTTCAGGCTGGTGGGGGACAATCCCAAAGAGGTGGGTGATGCGGGCGAAGTGGGGCACCACCGGCAGGGCTGTGGGTTCGGATTTCTTTGACCTCCAGCTCCGAGCTTTGCTGGGGGGGAGAAGCCTGAGAATAAGTTTTCTTGTGGGATTTTTGATGAATTAGGGAGATGGGGGGAAAGAAAGACAATCTGGTGAAACCAGAGTGCGGGCTCATCGTGGTGTCCCAGTGTCTAGAGGGACCCCAATGAATGGGGGTCCCAGCAACCCCTTCTGCACAGAAATCCTTCCTCAGAGCCAGCCTGACCCTGCCCTGGGCAGCTTGAGGCCATTCCCTCGGGGCCTGGCGCTGGGGCCTTGGCTCCAGAGACTCATCCCCCCTCTCTGCCCCCTCCTGGCAGGGAGTTGCCGAGGGCCAGGAGGTCTCCCCTCAGCCTCCTCTTCTCCAGACTGAACCCCCCCAGTTCCCTCAGCCACTCATTTTTTTTCTTTTTTTTTTAATTTTAAAAATGAATGGGGTCTCTCTAGAAACCCCAGGGAAGATGCCAGAGGGCTCATGGGCTGAGCAAGTAAAAGCAGAAAAGACGCTGAGGCTGGAGCTTGAGCGGCCAAAACATCACCAGGAATTTAAGCCACGTGGTTCGCGCGGCGGCGGACGTGGTGGGAAGGGTGGTGGGATGCGGTGTGGTGTGGGGGGCCTCTGCCCCCACTTCCATCCCCGCTGCTGAAACCCCTGGGCGACATCCCCGTCGTTTCCCTACCGCAGGAAGAGCTGCTCCGGAAAAGCTTTCAGGACTTGGCCACCGAGGTTGCTCCGCTTTACAAGAGGCTGGCACCACAAGCCTACCAAAACCAGGTACCGGCCCCCCACTCATCCCCTTGGAACAGGGCAGCCCGGCGGCCGGCAGAAACGGGTGTGGGTTGGTGGCACGTCGGAGATTTCGGATAACCGGAGCCCTCTCCTCCATCCACCAGGTTACCAACGAGGACGTAGCGATAGACTGCCGGCTGGGCTTGAAGGAGGGGAGGCCGTTCTCGGGAGTGACGGCGTGCATGGACTTCTGCGCTCACGCTCACAAAGATCAGCATAACCTCTACAACGGCTGCACGGTGGTAAGCGGGCGGCTGGAGGGGCTTTCTGGGATGCGCCCCCCCTGTGTTAGGATGCTCCTTCTGGAGCCGTTTGGTTGTTGCTGTCCCCCAGTTGTCGTACTTGCACAAATCCGGTGGCTACTGCTCAGTGTTTGCACAACTCGGATCACAGAACCCCAGAATCCTCGGGGTTGGAAAAGCCCCTGCAGCTCCTCCAGCCCAACCATGACCCTCCCCCTGACCCTTCCCAACTCCCCCAGATCCCTCAGCGCTGGCTCAGCCCGACTCTTCAACCCC